CCATGACCAAGTTGGCTTCATCCCAGGGATGTAGGGGTACTTAAATATATGAAAATCTATAAATGTAATATAGCACATTAATATAAGCAAAGACAAAAACCACTTAATCACCTCAATAGATGCAGAAAAAGCCTTCAGTAAGCTCCAACATGACTTCATAATAAAAACCCTAAGAAAACTGGGAATAGAAGGAATGTACCTCAACATTGTAAAGGCTATATATAACAAACCTACAGCCAACACATACTTAATGGAGAAAAACTGAAACCATTTCCACTAAAATCAGGAATGAGATAAGGGTGCCCACTATCCCTACTCCTATTCAACATAGTGCTGGATTTCCTAGCCAGATCAATTAAGATCTTTCTTAATTCCTTTTATTTCTTCTTCTTGAAAGAAGAAATAAAAGGAAAACAAATAGGTAAAGAAACTATCAAAATATACCTCTTTACAGACTACATGATCCTACCTCTCAAAGACCCAAAAAACTACCAAAAAACTCCTAGATAATATAAACAGCTACAGCAAGGTGGCAGGATACAAAATCAACTCACAAAAATCATTGTCTTTTCTATATACCAACAACAAACAAATTGAGAAAGATGATATGAAAACAATTCCATTTACAATAACCTCAAAAAATTTCAAATAGCTACAAGTAAACTTAACAAAAGATGTGAATGACCTCTATAAAGAGAACTACAAACCCCTGAAGAAAGAGATCCAGGAAGACTACAGAAGGTGGAAAGTTCTCCCATGCTCATGGATTGGTAGAATCAACTTAGTAAAAATGGCTATACTACCAAAAGCAATCTACATGTTTAATGCAATTCCCATCAAAATTCTAATGACATTCATCATAGACATTGAAAAATCTACCCTAAAGTTCATTTGGAAACACAAGAGACCATGAATAGCCAAGGATATACTCAGCAAAAAGAGCAATGCTGGAAGTATCACAATACCCAACTTCAAACTATATTACAAAGCAATAGCAATAGAAACACATGGTACTGGCACAAAAACAGACATGAAGACCAGTAGAACAGAATAGAGGTCCTGGATATCAATCCAAACAGGTATGCCCACCTTATTTTTGACAAAGTCATTAAAAACATACGATGGAGAAAAGACAGCCTCTTCAACAAATGTTGTTGGAAAAAGTGGTTATCCACCTGCAAAATCTGAAACTAGATCCCTGTTTATCACCTTGTACTAATATCAACTCAAAATGGATCAAGGACCTTAATATCAGACACGAAATGCTGAAGTTAGTACTGGAAAAAGCAGGGAATACTCTGGAAGTAATAGGAATAGGCAAGGACTTCCTCAATAGAACCCCAGCAGCTCAGCAACTAAGAGAAAGGATGGACAAATGGGACTTCATAAAATTAAAAAGCTTCTGCACATGAAAAAAAATGGTCTCTAGAATGAACAGACCACCCACAGAGTGGGAGAAAATGTTTGCCAGCTATACATCAGACAAGGGACTATAACCAGAATATACAGGGAACTTAAGAAACTAAACTCTCTAATATCAATGAACCAATTAAGAAATGGGCAACTAAACTAAACAGAACTTTCTCAAAAGAACAAATTCAAATGGCCAAAAAAACCATGAGAAAATGCTCACCATGTCCAGCCATAAAGGAAATGCAAATCAAAACCACACTAAGATTTCACCTCACCTTGGTTAGAATAGCCATCATCAAAAACACCACCAACAACAGGTGTTGGCAAGGATATGGGGAAAAAGGAACCATTATACACTGCTTATGGGAATGCAAGCTAATGCAACCATTCTGGAAAACAATATGGAAGCTTCTTAAAAATCAAACATAGGTCTGCCATATGATCCTGTAATCCCACTCCTGGGGATATACCCAAAGAAATGTGTCTCAGGTTACTCCAGATCACCTGCACACCCATGTTTATTGCAGTGCTATTCACAATAGCCAAGGTATGGAAAAAGTAAAGATGCTCCACCACTGATGAATGGATTAAAAAATGTGGTATTTATACACAATGGCGTTTTATTCAGCCATAAAGAAGAATGAAATCTTATTATTCTCAAGTAAATGGATGGAACTGGAGAACATCATCTTGAGTGATGTTAACCAGGCCAGAAGACCAAAAATCGTATGTTCTCCCTCATATGTGAACTTTAGATCTAGGGCAAATGCAGCAATGTTGTTGGACTTTGGACACATGCTAAGGAGAGAGCACATAGGGGTGGAAGGGGACAGGTAGGAAACCAAAAACATGAAAGTGTTTGATGTCCCCAATGCAAACACTAACACAGTAACCTTAAAATGACTGAGGTCAATATGGGAAGGTGACCTGGATGTAGTGAAGAGGTCAGATATAGATGAATCAATTTGGGTTGTAATACACTTGTGCATGGAAGCAATGCTAGAAATCTCTTTGTATAGCTATGCTTATCTCAACTAACAAAAATGCTACATCTTTCTCATTATTGCTTATGTCTACTCTTCAACAAAATTGGAGAAAGGGGCAGAGCAGGTTCTGCTTGGAAATGAGGGGGATGGGGGAAGAAGGAGGGGGCAGGGGGCAGAGGGGAGAAATGGCCCAAACAATGTATGCACATATGAATAAATGAAAAAAAAGAAAAGAAAATACTGACTTATGTGAACACATAGATTTATTTAGATGATACTGTAAAAAAACAGGAATAATAATACTTATTCCTGGCTATATGTATACTTTGTCTTGTAAGTTGTATATTTTATATATATCCCTATTTTGTTTTCTCTAATCTCTACCTTCATTTTTCCATCTTGCTAGACTTCTAAATTTCAATTCATTATAGGAATTGCAATATTTTTATTTCAAGAGCAGCTATTGTTTGAGAAATCTTAAACAATTACCAATTATATTTTTCAATGATCTATATGAGAAACGTAAGTTTCTTTTAAATTAAAACAATTTGGTTGGATTTCTTCTATTTCCTTACAAGAAGAGACTTCCTATCATCTTCATGATAATCTTCTAACTTGATCTGATGAGTATTGACATCAGGTTTTCACCTTTATTCTTTTTTCGTAGTCAAGAGAAAACAAGTTTTATTTCTGATATGCTTTTCAGCAATGTGTTACCTTAGAAATAGCTTAGAACTTATCAAAGTCCCAAGCTATACATTGTAGTTTTACTTTGTGGATTAATTAAATTGGACTTGGCATTCATAAAATCTTTCAATTTCCTCAATGGCAAAGAGACAGTCATACTAAATTATTTTTATGGTTTCTGTCTGCTTAAAATTGTGAGACTGTAAATTTCATGCAAACTCTATTACTGTGGTACTTCCTCAGAAATATTTGAACATATTTAGAGCATCTTACAGTTCTGTGTTCCTGCTGGTTCATCCATGCATGAAAGACACACAGATACTGTACTGAGAAGTGTGGTTCAGTTCTAGCTCCTGCTGGGGACAGTCTAAAATGGTACTGATTTTCAAAGGGCTCATTGCAAGAGAAAATGACTGGTTACCAGGGAAGCAAGAGTAAGATGATCACAATCATAAAGTAACTCTTTTAAACCTTGAATAGACTACCCCAAATTAACACATATAATGATTTTGTTTAAAAAGAGGTCCAAGAAATCATTTGTTAGCTTATGAAGTCCAACATAAACCACTTGTGTAATAGTATTTGGCCAGTATCCATCTCTACTGTGAGTCCCATATAGGTACCACATGGTACCTATTCAGTTTCAATGAGTGCTTATTTGTGTTGAAGGAAACAGACACCTGTTTCATCCAAAATTAAATGCCGTTAAGACTAGATATGACACAATTAAAATTTAAACTTGGAATAGCCTACAAAGTTTCTAAAACATGAGAAGTGGGAAAATGTATGTATCAATAGATGTTGTTTTAAAGTGTGAGGTACACACTCTGACCTTATAGTATTCAACGTAGCACATGAAAGAAGTTTGTAAACAAATAACTATAATGTAATTTAAAAAGTGCTAGCACAGATATGTATAAAGTACCATGCTAAAATTTTTGATAAAAGACAAGTTTAAGGTACAGAAACAATCTACTACTTTTCTAAAATATCTTATACTTGGATTCCAAACTTTGTACCAACTGTGACAATTATTGTAAATAGATATTTGCCTTTAGAGGAAAATAAGGAATCTTTCCACAAATTCATGCAAAAAATTAAATAACATGACATTTCACTAAAAGGATGATTTTAACAAATGTTAAGAAGTGAAGTTTTTGACTTCTTTGATTTTAATGCTACCATATGTAATTTAGGTATAATTATGTTTATTGTGTTACTTAAATAAAATAAAAATATTCTATACTTTTAAAGGAAATACAAAATGTTTTTGATTTATGAGTGTTTGTATTTTCCTGCAGATTTAAAAAACAATGCTTTGAATGACTCACTTAGTGCAACAAATAGTCATTTTTTTCCTAAGATAGAATAGATATAGTCCCTGGAGCTCCAAGTTCATGAGCTACTGAACTGCAGAGTTGAATGGTCTTTAATATCCTTGAAAGAGTAATGCATGACTTTAAGTCTTATTGAAATGTGATGACAGTGCAGCTGAGCCTCTCAATTGCCATAAACTAACTCTTAAATAATAGTGAAATACTTAGATAACATTAGAATCCTAAAACCATAAGATTTGAGTGCCAAAAGAAGCATTTGATGTCTTCTAACTTATAATCATGTATGTGAAAATAATTCCTTCCAACACTTCAGTCCTTTGACATCACAAAATGCATAGCTGATGGAGAGGAGCAATTCAATTATGTTAGACTGCACCAGTCTTCTTAAAAAAAGACTTTCCATCTGAGGCTTCCCCAGGCATACATTAGTTTTCTAGCTTTACAGAAAGAAAATGTAGAAGTGAAGTGAACCAATCACTCATCCGCTTCCAAAGACAATGTTCCACCTATAGAAAGTGGGGTCAGTGTTTCTGGTTTATAATTTGTTATGGGAAATGCAGAAAGCCATTCCACCTACCTCCTCACAGGTAGTTCTGAAATCCATGTGCTATGGCACTGCAAAGGATGTGGGGTCTGAAAAGACAGAGAAACGGTAAGCTATTAAGCACAGCATGAAGTGTAGCAGAAAAGAATAACAATGATGTGTAAGAAATTGTGAAGCACTTCCTGTGTCAAAACTGTGCTGACACATTTGCAGGGGGCAAGAATGCCAGGGTATACTGACAAAAGGGAAAGGAAAAGACAAGGAAGTCCTCTTCTATCCCCAGCTTTGTGAAGAGTGAATGTGCTCAGGTGTTCAGTGGATGGAGAGCACCAGGACCCTTGTAATCTATGACTTTATTAGCCTCGTCTCTGGGGTGTTGGCTTGTTCCCACTATTCATTTTGTAACCAGAATTTAGAAACTTTAAAAGGAGTAATTAAAAGTTGATTTTCATCTGGTTATTTCTTGAAAAAAAGGTTGACTAATCTTTCTTTTTTTAATTAAAAAGCTACATGCATGAATAATTCTCTGTGAAACTTAAAATTTTATTCACAAACAGTATGACATATGAAGCAAGCTGTTTAACAGAGGAGAAAATACTGAGATAAATCAATACATGAAATATCCAATAAGGATTTTCATTTAGGAGTCATCATACCCAAATGATGAGTATAGATTTTAAATACATTTAAATTTTTTTAAAGGGAGAGTTTTGTTTTCATTTTATGGTAGGCTTGACAAAACTAAGTTGTCACAAAAATTAATGCCCTCATACTATAAACAAAACAAGGCAGCACCAAAAGAAAATGGCTAGGTAAATGAGACTTATCAGTGAAGAGTGTGGTTAATTTGAAAACAGAAAACTCTATGCTCCTCAGAATCATTCTCAGTCTTTGGAACAGGAAACTATTTTTCCTTCCTCTGTCACTAGTTCATGATTCGAGTTGAAGAATATTTGATCGGGTAAGTGTGGTAGAGTGGAAGTGACACACATGCTGTCACCAACTTACAGATTATTACTGTTGACTTTTCAGTAGCAACTGAATATGCCATATGATATTTTAAACATTTTCCCTGGATAAGTCTTGTGGTTTGTGAGCCTGATTTTATTTTACTGATATGCATAAGCTAGCTGATTTTAGTATAGTTAGACAATAACAAATCCTTAGCAAGTAAAAGGGCATTCTGGCATTAGAAATTTATTATTTGATCATATAAATTACTTTATATGTAGATATGTAGCACCCATGGGAATTTTATCAGTAGTTTAACAATTCTTGAAGATTGCTTTTGAAGAACCTGTCATATTGGCTTATCTCCAACTTTGACAAGGAGTTATTCCTTTACTATGAACTAAGAAAACTTCAGTATTTATTGACCATATGAAAATGGGTAATGTCAAAAATCAATTTCTTACTGCTAGCAATTGGCCATAGAAATAGATGTTAGTGTGTTAACCACTTATCTCATCTCATGATCATATTTAATTTCATATGCTGAACTTAACATTACTGTATACATTTTAATATATCATTATTTCTTAATGGTAGGACACATCAGAGCATCTCCTGTATGTCTTTACTATTTTTAACATCTCCCTTTTTCTTCATTTTTAAAAATTCTAACCTTCCATCCTCTTTCACCAAAACAGTAGAGAATAATATCAGTAGTATAGCAGAAAAAGGATTATTGTGGGACTCAAAACATACAAATTACTAAGTATCACAATAAATATTATAGTTGCAATGTAACCATTTTTAGCAGCTATAAATTTAAAATGACTAAAATATGTTGAATCATTTTTTAAAAGCATTCTGTGTCTTTTTCTTTTTGAATAAACTTTTTATGACAGAACAGCTTTAGATTTGCAGAAAAAAATTATTGTGAAGATACACAGAGAGGTCCACATCAAATTTTCTCTGGTATTAGCATATACATTGTAATTAATGAAATATTATTGATACATTGTTACTAGATAAATGATAGTTTATTCATATTCCCTTAGTTTTTTTTTTCCCAATGTCCTTATTCAGTTCTCCAATCCCTGTCCAGGTCTCATGTTATATTTAATCATCTCGTCTCCATCGGCTGTGACCCTTTCTCAGACTTTCCTTATTTCTGAACTTAGCAAAACTGGCCAGAAATTTGTGTTTTTCTAATAGCATTATTCTGATTTTCTTTCATAATGAGGCTGAAATTATTGGCTGTTGAGAACACAGAGATAAAGTGCCGTTTTCATCCATCCAATCAAAGATATAGGCTATCAATGCAATATTATCAATACTGGCTAACCTAATCACCTGCCAGAGAGGTATTTGTCAGATGCCTCTATTGTAGTGTCTCTATTTTCCCCTTCTCCACGCTGCACTCACTGGAAGGACATCACCATGCACAGCTCACACCCGAGGAGTGGGTGATGTACTTCTCATCCGTGACAGTGGAGTACTCCTTGAAACCTTTGGATTTCGTTCCATAACAGTTATATCTGGTCTTGCTTAGTTATTAACGTTTGCATTTCCTTTAGGCCTTCTCAGTTGATAAAGCAAGGAAATTCATGTTTGAATGCCAACTCATGACAGTGTGCATTTAGCTAACAATATTTCTATACATACCATCTAATATTAAGCTTAACAGGATTTCTTAGTGACATTCCAACTCTAATACATAACTATATGTGACATTCTAATCTTCCCCTTTTTTTCTGTAAGTTCCTATCCTGACAATGTGGAACTTAGCTCCCAATCTAAGTACACTACTCATGTACTTAGCTGTGCAATCCCTATATACCTGGATAGCATTATTAATCCATGACCTTATGGGAAATGACTGTCCAATGCAGTACAGTTTATTTTACCTTTAATCTTACAGACACACTCATTAGCAAAATTACTTATGTCAGACTGGGGAAGTAACACAGTGGTAGACCTCTTGCCTAGCATGCATGAGGCCCTGGCTTTGATTCCTAAATCCACAAAAAGAAAAAAGGAAAAACAAGCAAAATTTCTGCCAATTCCAGGGATAAATGAGCATAATGACCACGTGGTAGTTTCTTTCAGTTTCATAGGTCCCATCTGCTTTTTGGCATTTTTATCATTGCACTTTTACTGTTACTCCCCAGGAAGCTGCTGCCCTCGTGGCTTGGCCTTGCCTCAGAATGCCATATGAGTAACAAGACTTCCCTTGATGTCCCCAAGAACACAGGAAAGGCACAGTCACACTCATATCCCTACTTCAAAGAGAGCTGCCATAGTCAAGCTGCAGAAAACAAATGCATGTTTTGTTGTGGATTGCTCTTCTTGCTGCTTGGCCACGCTGTAATTTCCAGTTATTCAATTAAGCATGAGTCTAGGTGGTGCTTTGAAGGTATTTTGAGATGTGATTAACATCTTCAGTTATCTTAGACTAAGTAAAGGAGATTACTCTCAGTAACATACATAGGACTTAACAAATTAGTTCCAAAGCGTTAAGATTAAACACTGAATTTTCCCTGAAGAAGAGATTCTGTCTCAATATTACAGCATCAACTTCGGCTAGAGAATTTTTAGGCTGCTGGGCTGATGAATTATTTCAGAATTGTTAGCCCTGACAATAATGTTAACCACATACAAACAAGTTCAATTTCTCTGGAGAATCCTAGAGAAATACAAATTTCAGAATGAAGAATAGTTCGAAAGAAACAGAATCCTAAGGATGAGTTTTCTGAAGTAGTTCTGGGGCTTCCAGAATTGATTCCCTGGTATGATTATATTTATGTACTTATTTATTTATTTTTAATTTTTATTTTATTCATATGTGCATGCAATGTTTGGGTCATTTCTCCCCCCTTCCCCCCACCCCCTCCCTTACCCCCCTTTATCCGTCGCTACCCGGCAGAAACTATTTTGTCCTTATCTCTAATTTTGTTGAAGAGAGAGTATAAGCAATAATAGGAAGGACCAAAGGTTTTTGCTAGTTGAGATAAGGATAGCTATACAGGGAGTTGACTCACATTAATTTCCTGTGTGTGTGTGTTACCTTCTAAGTTAATTCGTCTCAAACTAACCTTTTCTCTAGTTTCTGGTCCCTTTCTCTTATTGGCCTCAGTTGCTTTAAAGTATCTGCTTTAGTTTCTCTGTGTGGAGGGCAAAAAATGCTATCTAATTTTTTAGGTGTTTTACCTATCCTCATACCTCCCTTGTGTGCTCTCACTTTATCATGTGATCAAAGTTGAATCCCCTTGTTTTGTTTGCCTTTGATCTAATGTCCACATATGAGGGAGAACATACGATTTTTGGTCTTTTGGGCCAGGCTAACCTCACTCAGAATGACGTTCGCCAATTCCATCCATTTACCACTGAATGATAATATTTCATTCTTCTTCATGGCTGCATAAAATTCCATTGTGTACAAATACACATTTTCTTAATCCATTTGTCAGTGGTGGGGCATCTTGGCTGTTTCCGTAACTTAGCTATTGTGAATAGTGCTGCAATAAACATGGGTGTGCAGGTGCCTCTGGAGTAACCTGTGTCACAGTCTTTTGGGTATATCCCCAAGAGTGGTATTGCTGGATCAAATGGTAGATCAATGTTTAGATTTTTAAGTAGCCTTAAAATTTTTTTCCAGAGTGGTTGTACTAGTTTACATTCCCACCAGCAGTGTAAGAGGGTTCCTTTTTCCCCACATCCTTGCCAACACCTGTTGTTAGTGGTGTTGCTAATGATGACTATTCTAACAGGGGTGAGGTGGAACCTTAGTGTGGTTTTAATTTGCATTTCCCTTATTGCTAGAGATGGTGAGCATTTTTTTCATGTGTTTTTTGGCCATTTGAATTTCTTCTTTTGAGAAAGTTCTGTTTAGTTCACGTGCCCATTTCTTTATTGGTTCATTAGTTTTGGGAGAATTTAGTTTTTTAAGTTCCCTGTATATTCTGGTTATCAGTCCTTTGTCTGATGTGTAGCTGGCAAATATTTTCTCCTACTCTGTGGGTGTTCCCTTCAGTTTGGAGACCATTTCTTTTGTTGAGCAGAAGCTTTTTAGTTTTATGAAGTCCCATTTATATATCTATGCTATCTTTTAGTTGCTGTGCTGCTGGGGTTTCATTGAGAAAGTTCTTA